GGGGACCCTCCCGCCTAGGGTTCTCCCGGGAACTTCTAACCCTCCCATTTCCGTGCGGGACAGTCACCGTGTTTACTCCTTCGCTCCCCGCAGCGGGTCATCCCCAGCCCCTCCCCGCCTTCTCCTCACAGACTCTCCCCGGTCCGTCAGCCTCGTCACGAGAATGGCAAGACTGACGCCTGGAAAGAAGCAGAGGCCTGTCGAGGACCACATATGCCTCTGCTTCCCAGCCAGGGCGCTTTGAAACAGCGGCCCAGAGGCTGGCTCGGGTATAAGCACCTCCCTTACGGGCCCAGCCCCCGACTCCCCAATCTGCAAACCACCCTCTGGCCCTGGGCGAGCGCGCGGGCTCCCGAGAGCGGGGGCGGGGCGAGGCCGCTAGACCGGCCTCGCTACCGATTGGCTAAAGCCGCCGCGTTGCCAGGGGAAGGAGCCAATCTGGGCAGCTGCGGCAGGTGGCCCCACAACCTAACGGCCGTTGGGCGCGGCTGGGGTTCCCGCTGTCTCTAGCCAGACCAGCCTCGCCCTTGGGGACCCGGGAGGCTTCCGGCCCGGGTGGGGTGGGGGCGCCAACCCTGACCTCCGCGCCTTGAGCAGACGGACTAAAGTGTCCAGCCTTGGGATGAGAAAGGGAGTCAGGAGATGGACTCGGCCTTGTTCGCCCTCAGGTGGCCGATGATCTTGTGGAGGTGACGGACACGTAAACAACAAAAAACCGGGTCCTGTGGCCGGGACAAACACATTCATTTGAGGAGGAGGAGAAGGAAATAGGTCTCTTTCTTCCTGTTTTCGTCCTTGTCTGCATCTCAGGACTGTTTTTAAGAAGCAGTCGAGGGAGTGGACGCCGTCTCCCTGCCTTCACTGTGAGCCCTCCGGAGCAGGAAGCTGCTGCTTTGTCTCCAAGGGCTCCGTGAGGGCTGCTTTGGCCGCTGTGGAAAGTGTAATGGCAGGATCGGGGGTAGAGAAACGTTTGCTGAGTTACTATGTGTCAGGATCAGCGTGGGTACCTCACGTAACCCTGGGAGCCTGTATTAACTGCCATTTTACAGATGCAAAAAGAGTCCCGAAGAGGTTAAATTCCCTGCCTAATGTCACACAGTGGTGAGCCCTGACTTAACCCCGACCAGTCTGGCGCCATGCACGTGTTTTCTGCATTGTCCACAAGCAGAAGAAAAAGTCAGGGAACAGTTGAGGGAACGTAGATGGAATGGGACTGGATAATTATAACAGGAAAGAAAATCACACTGAGCTCCTGGTCTTGGCAGAAGCAGAAGCGGGGTGGAAACTCCAAGGCAGAGCATTATTTCTGGCACCGTGGAGTCTCCATCATCAGCTGGGCTAGCTTTTGCCCAGGAGCTCCTTTCTCTGGCTGCGATGAACTGACTCCCAGGATGCTCGGCACACTGCGGTGACATTGCTAAACTTGTCAGTCATCTTTGAGGAGACTCGAAGGACAGGATGAACCCAAAGGCTTACCAATGACATTGTCACCCTGCTTGTCAAAACAGGGAGGAATCTGGATTCCAAAGACTATACCCATGAGATTTTTGTTTACCCTTGCCAAATTCAATGGACTGTTAAAAGGACGATGTGTGGACACTTAAAAAGGGAGGTAGAGATCACCAGCATGGATTCCTTAAGAAGACATCCTGTGAAAATGTAACAGCCTGAACAGAAGTGACTCCATTTTGTTAAACTTCTAAATTAAAAAGGTTTTATTTTTCCTTACACTTGTAACCTGAACTGCATAGCTTGCAGCTAGACATTAGAACACGATGATTCTTGTGTACATTATTGCTAGAACATAATGACTCTTGCTCACACTGTACACAGAATAATTTTAGAAGAAATGATTAACCCAGATGGCCATTCTTTATTAGCTTACTAACTACAATTTTTTTGAGATTCACTGGAACTGAATCTGTGACTTGGCTTCATGGAGGATGGTAACCATGAATCAGCTCCCACCTGGGAAGTTATTTGTCGTTTACCTGCAATTTTCTTGCACACCCCTGCTTGACCATCATGAATCAGCCCCCTACCACCTATCCCTATAAAACCCTTTGGCAAGTCTGGGAAAAGTGATGGTCTTTGAGACATAAGTCCATCATTTCCCCAGGCTGCCGGCTTCTTGATTAAAAGCTACCTTTCCTTACACCAACACTTGTCTCTCAATTATTGGCTATTGAGTGGCGAGCAAACGAACCTTTGGGGTTTCAGTAACAAAAATAAGTCTTGTTTTGTTTTGTTTATGGGAATAGAGCCAGGGAGATTGGAGCAATGCTACAGACACAGTACCTCTGGATTTTTAGCAAGCAGCTTGCTAAAAATGTATGGGTACAGATAATTGCATTTTGAAAACTTGTTTCACATCTATTTCATTGAATTGTGTGTGTGTGTGTATAAAATAATGTATATATGAGGGTACTTTTAAAAGTTCATGGAAAGATTCGTACTATCTTTTAATTCTATTTTTCTACAAACTTTCTGAAGTACCCTCATATACACACTATTTGTAAACATATGTGCCAATAATCAAATTGACAAAGTTTCATACATTTTAGTATAATTTTAACATCATGCCAGAAAACCACTGTGCTTATAGTTTTGGAGCTTTAAAATCTTTAAATACAGACTGTGTTTGCAACTCTGAAAAAATAGACAAGAATGAGAGAGAAAACTGAAAACATCAGATAGTAACCAACATGAGAAGAATTTCTAATGTCTCGTAATTTCTGCTAAAAATATTGAATAGATTGGCTGTATTAATTCCCCTCTCCCACCAAACATAAAATTGCATTTTTAAAAAGAAATTAAGGAAATGTCATGATTATACTTTTTGATGATTACACATTTTTAAAAATGACATGAAACTGAATTTCTTTAAACCCACTTGAGAGATGAAATTGAACCATATATTTTTTAACTTCCATGTCCTTTTTAATGTTTGTTCTTGGTTTCTGAAAAAAGGGAGTGAAGAAATGGTGACACAAAGCCAGATGGAATTACTTTCAACATTTGCAACAAAATTATACTAAAAAATTTAAATGAATCTTTATTGGTAAGTAACAAATTATATATTTTAAATGTTGAACTGGAAAAATACTAAGAGTTGGGGCCAGCCCGTGGCTCACTCGGGAGAGTGCGGTGCTGATAACACCAAGGCCCCAGGTTCGGATCCCATATAGGGATGGCCGGTTCGCTCACTGGCTGAGCGTGGTGCTGACACCACCAAGTCAAGGGTTAAGATCCCCCTACCGGTCATCTTTTTTAAAAAAAAAAAAAAGAAAAGAAAAATACTAAGAGTTAAAAGATGCATCTTTAGGGCCGGCCTGTGGCTCACTTGGGAGAGTGTGGTGCTGGTAACACCAAGGCCATGGGTTCGGATCTTATATAGGGAAGGCCGGTTAGCTCACTTGGAAGAGTGTGGTGCTGACACCACCAAGTCAAGGGTTAAGATCCCCTTACCAGCTGTTGGGAAAATACAGGAAAATGGTCAGGGTCCCTCAGATGTTCAGAATCTTGCGGAGCATTTGCTGTGAATAGGTAGGTAGTGCGCCTGCGCGGCGCCGCGATTTTTGCTGGCGTTTTACTGCCTCCGGTGCCACCGCCGCATGATCGGCTATGCCTTTCCAACCTGCGGCTTCCAAAGACATGTTTGCCTGTTAACTAGTTCATAGACCTGCCTGTAAAGGGTCTGGTGACCCAACCTGGCGTGCGAAGGGTCTGTGAACGGGCTTGACGGGTCTGTGAGCTCCAGCCCTAGCCCTAGCTCGACAAATGGCCCACTCGGCAGGTAAAAGAGCCCGACAACCAACATCACGAACAGAATTAGTAGCTCTACAAATGGCTGTGTCGGCAGGATTCCGACATTAGCCCTAGCGCTACAGTCGCTCTACAATTGGCCACGTCTGCAGGATTCCGACATTAGCCTAGTCCTAGCGCCACACAGATCATCTTAAAAAAAAAAAAAAAAAGATGCATCTTTACATGAATTAATGTGTGAATGAAGTAAAGCTATATTCATAAAGCATGAAAACAGCACTTTACTTTGCTCACAGATCTGAA